TACAATATTGTTTAAAAGAAAATAAATTCTGTTTTAAGTACATATTAATAAATTTTTCCAAAATTTGTAATAACTACATTTTAACATTATTATCAAGAAAATATTCTTCATTAAAGATGATTGTTATTTAGAAAAAAGAAAGTAAATTGAATAATCACTTTTTTTACCAATATAGTGATATTTTCCTATGCATAAAAGCAAAAAATAAAAATAGTTTGCTTTTAATGAATGAAAATAAATTAAATTTATGGCAGAAATAAGCACTTTGTCAACTCTTCTCACAATGATTCACGTATAATAAATAATTGTACGTAAATGAAATATTTAACGCATTTAGGCTTTTTATTAAAACTATTCACTTCTTATTAAAGGTATTCAATTACGCAATTTACATTTCGTCAGGCATTGAATCACGATCAAGACGAACGTTCTGTTTTTATCGCGTTTACAAATTCAATTTTTCACAGTAAAATTTACCATAAATGTTGTCAGCTGCATAATGGAAACCGTGTTGAATTACCACGCTAGCATTCTTCATGAAGGTACATTTCAACAGATAAGCCAAGACACCGGTGTATACCGGTGGTTAGCAGAAAAAGCAGAAACTTTCGGAGCGAGATACGTATAATGCGGAGGAGCAACGGCAGCGGTGTTGGGTGTGCAGAGAAAACTAAAGAACCAAGCATCCGCCCTTAGGTATCATTTCGAGCATGTAATGCATCCGTGCACCTACGTGCGATCTCACCCTTTTCTTTTCTCTCCTCGACGGCTTTCACGGCTCCATGAACCCTTTCGAACGTGTCCGCGATGCGATCGCAAACGATAGAGTGTCCCGAAATATTTTGACCGCACGATCCTCTTCATTCTTACAGCGAGCTATTTCAAGCGTGCTTCTGACAGATGAACCAAGAAAAATATGATAATAATAATTTTAAAATATATGAATAACACTAGTCGACAAAATTTTACTTTTTTTTTGTGTTCAATTGATTTGAAAAGGTGTCTCTTGTATTATTTATTTCCTTATATTTTTATGTTAATTTCAAATCTGTTTTCCAAATTTATGAGAAGAGCAGAATTTTTAAATAACATTTGGAAATTCCTCTACACATTCCTTTTGATTTTTTCTACTTAGAATAAACAAATAATTCGTAATAAAAGAGTAACTACTGAATTATAACATGATTTTCTACTTATTATAAAATTTTTCAAATAAATGATTTTAATTTAAAAAAATAAATATAATTATATATATGAAATTATATTATAAAATATTTTTCCTGGGAAATCATTTTAATTAAGAAAAAGTGTCAATGAGAACTATTAGCAAATTGTATGTTTTTTTAAAGATATATTGATTACAAAAATTCGAACCCATAGGATAAATGCTCAACATTAAAAATCAGAATTTAAAAATATTTAAAATAAATAAGAATCGGTCAGAATTATCCATGTAACCGAATCATTGTATACATATGTATAATTGATGTAACGTTCTTTAGAAATTGATTTAATTCCAAGAAATAGCTCAGCGTTAAAAGAGAAAGTGTACAGGATAAGATATAAATTTCCTTTCTCACGCAACGCGCACGTATATCACAATAATGCAAAACTTCCGACTGAAAAGAAAGAGAAAACTATAATTTAAACTGCTGTTACCGTGAAAAAAATTTCGTTTATACATGTTGCGGTAGTCAACAGCTCGGGCGCGTCACCGGCAATTTTTGCGCGGGAGTTTCGCGAAATTACGAGGAACTTAGGGCTAGCTGGCAGTTGCACGTGAACAACACGCAAACTCCTCTAAACTGACATGCTGCACTTTCGTGCAGCCGCCAGCGGGTGCCGCTTCGCAAACGGCGAAACTAGACGCAACACACAACACCGGCTCGACCATCTCTCTTTGGTATTACTTCGGGCATGTAATGGAGCTCACCAGGTCGACGGGAACCAAAAGGTGCATCCTTTCCAGGCAAATACCACTGTGGTACCAGCAGCAGCGCGAGAACAAATATTTGATAGAACGAACGGTGCATAAACCTGTGCCGGGACTGAAAAGCAACGCCAGCAAATATGCGAGATCGCGAGATCGACAATGTTTATAACATTATATAATAATAATAATAATAATAATTATATAATATCTCGTGAATTTATATAGAAGCTCAATCAGAAATCCGAAGTGATAGCTACAATTTTGAACATCCATTTTAATAATGAAATAATCACTAATGCTTTTGTGAATATCTATAATATTGAATATTTGAAACGTTTTTCTTTTCTAATTAAATTTGAATTTTTTATAGATAATGGAAATTAATTTCAGGTTTTTAATTCAATTTGTTAAATTAATTAACAGTAAAATCATATTTTGAAATAGATAGAATTATGAAATATATCATAGAAATGACAAAAATTTCAAATACTATTTTTATTAATAAAATAGTCGCCGGCGCTTTAGCAATATTGAATTTAAAATAAACGCGTTTTTGTGTAGACTAATATTTGTAATATTTCTATCTTCGTTAAATAATAAAAATAAATTTTAGATTTCAATTTTATTAGTTAAGCTAATAAAAGAGAATAAAACTAAATTTTAAAATAGTATTTACGTTCATAATTAACTAGAGCGATAATTTAAAAAATTTTAATCACCATTGTTTTAACAGTAATTAAATATATCTATTTTCTATTATTTATATTCATATCCTTTTTAAACAATAAGTTAATTTTAGTTTAGCGTTGGTTGTATTGATACAAATTTAAAGTTTTAATTAATTTATATATGTATATAATTAATTTTATAAATGAAAAGACTTGATAAAAAACATACCACAATCCCATTCGGGAGAATCTCGCAACAAGATAATACTTTTTCACATATACTTATTTCTTACTTGAATAAGTACAGAAAGAATATAATCTTTGCAATCCATTTTGTACTCTTAAAAAATAGTATTTTCGCAATGTTCCTTCAGTACATATACGATATGTGTATTTGTCCGATAAAGAAAAGAAAAACAGAATTTCTGAGAATATAACATTTCTTTAGCACAAGCTTAAATTATATTTTCATATAATACCTATAATTTATTGATATCCTATGTTTAATTATATCCTGTAATTTATAAACGTATATACATTAATTTACTTTGCTACATATATATTCAATTTTATTTAGCATAGATGTATGTAGAGAAAATGAATAGAAGTAGGGGACGTGACATTTTGCAATAAATCTTGCGTAATGAAAAGCCCGAAATGCGTTCCTACTTTCAGCAAATGTACGCTTCCAGTGGAAATGCAATACCTCACTCACGACTCATTAACGGATTGAAATCCGATGACTATAAAAGGGGTACACATTTGCAATATTGCACCTTCTAGTGTTCCCAAATTCAAATCGCAAAAAGTTTACTTTGGTAAAAAGGAGGATCGATATCGTGAAAAATTACCTGGGCGTAGGAAAAAAACAGAGGACGATGCTCTCTCTATTTTTCAAAGTTCTTCGACTGCGTTTTTCATTGGTAAAAGAAATCGCTCGTGTACACAACCTTCGACACTAATTAGTGTATTCCTTGCAGATTACTCGACGGTAATTAACGAGTTCTCAAATAAACGACATTCAATCCATCGTCAAATTTGCTATGGTCTAATATTATTTTAATTCAATGAGAATGATCTCGTCGTGGAACGATAGAGAAAATAAATTGTCGCAAACATCGGAAAGATATTTTTTCTTACTCAAGAACATATCGCACTTTATTAAAATCTTTTAATGATACATATCCATTATATAGGTTTTTATGCATATACAGTAAATGACATTTAATTACATTCTGCGTAAAAGAAAACAAATGAAACGAGAATAGTATGTAATGTTAGTGAAAAGTATACATCGCGTTTTTTAACGATATAAGTTCTATATCCTACATTTCTCTATGACATGATACAATGAACAGATTTCGATTGCATTATTTCAAAATAAAATCGAAAAACAGGAACAAATTTTATAATTTTTTGTTCGATTTTTGCAACGTTTTTATTTTCTAAACGTCATACTTTCGATAAGGTAATTTTCGTTCAGTTACGACTAGATCGTTTGTCCGCGAGTACACAGAGAATGGGTAAAATTACACAAGGAACGCAGACGTTACATCTAGCAAATTTGACAAATCCTTGCTTACTCACCGATCATTAAGCTGAGTTGACATAAAACGCACCCGCCGGGCTACCAGTCGAACAACAAAATGTTTTCATTTCTGCCGCATTTACCGTTTATTCATGCCGTGCAATTTGCGCGAACAGCATTTGCAATTTATTAACTCTCGGCAATTAAATATGCAATAAGCGTTGTAATAAAGCGTCATGTTAAGTAGTCAATGTATCATTTATTAAGGTACATACTTTGAACAAGCTATAACAAACTAATAACTACATATGTAATCGCTAATCGATAAATATTATTTTATGATTAAGATACAAGATTTATCACAGCAAGTAACAACACTTTATAAAAATATGTTTTTGCACCAATTATTCGCAATGTACTGCATTAAGAAGAATAGTACAATTCCTATAAGTGAGATATTAAAATAGATTAGTTTGAAAAATATGAAAAGCAGATCCATTTTATAATACAATAATATAAATTTTAATATTTTCGATATACTAAAATGAAATATATTAATTTTAATAACTTATAGCCATCAGTATGTTCCTATTATTACAAGATAAATAAAATAAGCGTATCATTTTAAATATAGCGCAATATCCTTATAAACTATTAATATAAAAATTAATTATTAATTTAAAAAATAAATAATTATTAATCGTTATTCTACTAAAGAAGGTCACCAAGCGATTCCTAGTCGTGCAAGTTTCTTTGAATCTTTCGGTAATTATACTTTAATACTTAAATTATACTTTATTATATTATACTTAATTATATTTTATTATTTTCCAAAATAAATATTTATTCTAAAAAGTTGAAAGTATGTTGGTGAATTTTTAGAGATTTTTTTAAATTATTCTGAATAGATAAAAAAAACTGACGGATTCTAGTGCCCCCGTTAGTATGGATGAGGCACCAAATTTGTAAGTATCAAAAATGTATTTAATAGAGTAAGGATTAATAACGTAAACTCATAAGAAAAATACTGTATACACAACGGTGCGAGAATATTAAGGTAGTAGTTTCTCTTCTTTCTTGATATATTCCAAATCTTCATCTGCTTTTTTTTTACACTGACATTCTTTATATCTTATTAAATGCATGTCGGCATCGCCTCCAGCAAGATCTGTGCAATAATAATAATAATTTCAGTATTTATATATAGAAATTAGAAATTACAAATATCGTACTATTTTCTTCAACATTACCATTATCTTGTTCCAACATAGCTTGTTTCATTTTTCTTGAATCTTTCAATCTCCTTGTTGGTGAAACTTCCTGTAATAAAAATATGTATGTATATAGATTTAAATGTATTTACATTATAAACATTTTGTATTATACATATATTTTTTTCTGAATATTACAATTAATTTAAAAACAACCTAACAAGAAAAATTAATAATTGGAAAAATAATAAAAATGTAGTTAATACCTCGTAAATCCGCTCAATGCGGTCTTGATTTTTATTGGAATTTTGTCTACCTTGCATTCCAAATTTGAAGAATGGCCCAAAACCGAAATTAATAGATCCGCCAATCCAGGAAAATGGTATCAATATTAAACATATGCAGATGCTCAAGAAAAGGGCAATTATGATGAGAAACTTGTGAACAAAGTTTAATTTACCTATAAAACAATACATGACGTAGTTAATAAATCAATAATATTTAAACCTCTACATTATTGACAATAATAAGCAAATTACAATACTCACTGGTAGCATTCTCTACAAATTCAGATATAACAAGTCCAACGAATGCTAAAGGTTTAAAAATAACCGTAGTAAGCAAATGAGTCACTACAAGTGCTGGTGTCACTTGTAGTTTAGGATTCGTCATAATCGATTCATAATATTTTTCACAATCGTTTGTAGCTGTGAATAGATTTTCAATTACAAATAATACATTAACGTCTCAAATACATCATATATTATAAATACTACTTACGAAAAAGCTGCTCAATTATCTTGGTCCAGAAATACATTTTATGCGGCTGGCAAGTAATTGGCATTTCTCTAAATTTTGCTTGTGTTGCCATTAATTTAATTTCTGCTTCCTGCAAAATAAAACAACTTTTAAAATAAAAAAATATCTGCAGTCATCATTTCGTTCCAAATACAAATATACATACAAATCTTCAAAACATTTCATTACATTATAAAGATTTTAAATATAATCAATGTACAATTGTATATATATCTTGAAGTATATTTTTAGGATAAAATAATATGTAAATTACCTGTATAAGTTGCCACCAAGTTATGACAAAACTGATTACAAATATAACATCAATGATGAAAAAGATCAGTAAACCTCGAGACCATCTTTGCCTCCTCAAAATCATAAAAATAGCTATGACTACAAAGAAAATTATAATTCTGTCCCACTGAAACAATTTAGAATGTTAATCAGATCCATATTATTAGAGATGTAAATTCAAAATATAAAAATGTATCTTTTAATATTTTATATATATATATATATATACTAAATTATTCTTACGTGGTCTTTTATAAGTGATATATAATACATCAAATTCTCTGATGTTTTACTCAAAAGTAAATTGAAATAATGAAATGCTTCAGCCATATAGTCGCATGCTGAGTATTCAGATCCTACTATTGCATTGGTAAGAATTCTGTCAACTTCTCTGATAGAACCTTGACCATTCTTGACAAATTTCTGCAAGTATTCAAGTTCCGAAGGAAACACTTTTATATTAAGCGTTCCAATTAATCTATCGTCAATTTTCTGTAAGCAAAATGTCTCATTATATATAAATAAGAAATTTTTATATTGCGTTTATCAAACTATTACAAATAATTTTAAACTTGATTCTTCTAATTATATACAGCAACTTACTTGCATTTCAAGATTTGATAATAACATAGCAATCAAACGTTTATAGAAAATTGCTTCCTGAGTATTTCGTTCATTTGGTTCTCTATAACTACATGGTTGTGACATGATAAACGATTGATTATTTTCTGTTTCTACTACTGGGCTAAAATTTAAGGGAATTAAAATGATTTATTAATCTCAAAATTTTTTGTATCTTATATAAAATAATATAATTTATACCTAGTTAAGTCTTCTTTTGCAAACATGTAAAAGAATGACTGTATTTTTGTGAGCTCGGGAGCTGTGGATCTGAAATAAAAAATATATTCATGTAGAAGATCTAAAATAAAAATACTCATATGTTTATGTTTACATAAAAATGCAATTAATATATTTGTCTTGCAGGAAAACTTTTGTAATTTTATGCAGTGAATGGATTTTGTTTACTTAAAAGTAATGAAGAAAATACTGGTAAGCATATAGCTTGGAAGAAAATTACGCTAAATATATAATATGTAATATATTATTTATGTAATATATACGCAATAAACTTATTTCTGGCAATAAAATGTGCACTAGACACCAAAAATACTTACGGTGTGGCATCATCCTTCTCACAATAAACATTCAAGAAAAACACACACAGGCAAGCTACAATGTAAATTAATATATGCAGAAATTGCATGTTGTCGTATCAAACGCTTCTA